ATATATGTGTGTGTGCGTGTATATATATATATATATATATATATATACTCATAAATAATTTGCTGGTAAGGACTTGCTCGTTTTACGCGACGTCGATTCGCTGTATATCTGCGGATTGTACACGTACAGCGGGACAATATATTGTATAAAACAAGCACATTGTTTGCAAGCAAATATTATATATACCTATATTGTAACAATTGATTAAAAACCAGGGTATGTCTTAATATGAGTAATACGTTGATTCATACACGACACACTCCGCGATCATTAGATCGTCGAGACGGCGAACGAAATAATTACCGTGTACTATAATAACAACGTCCGGCGGGGCGTGACATTATATTGTAAATAAACGACAGCGTTATTTCGCTGATGTATTTCGAGCATGTGCTACTGTAAATGTATTATTGGGGATCATAAAAAAGAGAGTGCGAAAAAGGAAAGCGACATCGCGTATAAAGCGACGATGGTATTTTGATTTTGAACAAAAGGAGAAAAAAGTGAAAGAACGGCAATTCGGTATTAGACCACCGCGCCGTAGATTTTTTAATTATCGTTCCTGCCTGTTCACAATCTGTGACTGCAATATCTCGTAAACACGTCGGACCAATGTCGTTGTGAGCACTAGCTGTAAACTGTAACAGCCTTCATCGTTGAGTATCCCTATTATTATCACTTAGCGAAAAGAAAAAAAGGGGAAAAATCGAAGAAAGACATCGTCGCGCGCTTCGATATAAGAAATCTGTTCTTTCTAAGAAACTTCTTACACAATTCATCTTCTCTTTTTTTTCAATATGAAAAAAAAAGAGGAAAGAATCATGTAAGAAGAGCTAAAAAGAGCAGGCCTAAAAAAATGTGTTTGGTCTTTTTCAAGTTGTAAAATTAAATTTTTTGTTCGTACAAAAATCATTGTTCATATTTCACGCAGCACACTTTATCCGAGATCCTGGAAACTTTCTTATGACGGTCAAAGGATATAAGAACGTCTTTAACACAACCTTTGAAGATCTATGCTATATATGGGCATTTATATAAGATAAATGTCTCTTGTTTTAAATCACATAATGTTAGTTGTAATATACATGTTCTACGTGATATATACAATACATACGTGTTTAGAGAAAGCAGATTTATGGAAATTTCTACCAATGTAGATTAATTTTAATCTCAGTTTAACTTACTTTTTATCTTCTTGTAGTTCTAAGAATTAGAAAAAAATAAAGAGTAAATTAAACCATCAAAATTAATTTATATTGATAGAAATGGGTCATATCCAAAATTATAATAATTGATCTTGATGCGAATAACGGCTGATGTCTTTTTTAATAACGTGCCCATTATTACAATGTATGAAATTCACTTTATGAGAAAATAGAAATTTATTACAGCTGAGAAAGTTTGTACAGTTGAAAATGGGCTCGTGCGATAGATACTCGACTCTGTGTATATCTGTGAATTCTAGACTCTTACTCGTGAAATTCTTTTTTATACGTATGATGCTCACATCGACAAGGCTTGCAGGCGAATCTCACCGAGATGATCCCTGGTCTCAACACGATGATATATTCTGGAGAACATAATTTTTAAAGAATTAATTCTCGAACTATGTTGAGCTCTCTCTTTGGAGTGTCAATTTGTGACATATTATTATCGATGAAGGAAGAAATTTTCTCAGCTGCAGCTTTTGTTAAGGTTTGTAATTTCTTTTCAATAGCTCGAGGCTCGGAGTCGTTACTTCAAGCAGCGCGTGTACATTAAGGTGACCAATTCCTTAAGGCAGAGGAACATTTAAAACAATTTAATATTAATTTTAATAAACATAATTTTAATAAACATTTTAAAAATAATTGTTATAATAACGAAACACATAAACAATATATTAATATATTTGTAAATAACTAACAACACTTGATGTATAACATCAAAACAAAAATTACGTTAAGTGTTACGAGATCACATTTTTTTTTTGAATTGTACTTTTCTGTTGAATGTATTTTATGAATAATATATCTAGATTTTTCGCGCGATAAAAAAACATAAAATTTTTTATATTAGTTAAAAATTATATTTCACACTCATTTTCATTTATTATTTCATATTTATCATTTTTACACTTAAAAAAGGGACATTTTATAATCATGTCTTTAATTTAGAGAAATTTGAGACGCGTTGTAAAGTGGGATGAAGAATAAAAAAACTGTCCCTCCTAATTTGGGACGGTTGGTCACTAAGATGTACATTCATTCGCAATAGTGAGTGAATTACTATTGTCACGATATATGTATTAAATACACTGACGATAATAACATTAATGATAACAACTACAAAATGAATGTTGCCTTTTGTCACATTGGTAAACGAGCAAGATACTAATAAATTATGTGCGATTAATAATGTAATAATCTATTGTATTATAAGTATACTAATACCGCGCGATCACACATTATGTACAACGTCGTGGAGATTATTTCGTATGATTGTAAATGATATGTGTGTTGCGTTGATGTAACGCGTCCCTATATTGCAGTAGGGCTGTGAAATAAATCAACCAGACACTTCTCGCTAATCTTGTCATTTTTCCCTGAAACACAGTCGCGTGGCAGGAACAAAGTTTTATATATAAATCGTGTCGTTTTCGGAGAAATGCCTAAGGAGGATCACGATATTTTTTATTTTTATCTTAAACATAATTTACAGTTATATTATATTAAATATTATTCTATATATTCAAATATTATTCTACGCCATGTGCCTATATATTTTGATTGATATATAAAAAACAGTATTTTGAATAAAATCTGACATAGACACATGAATAAACAAATTTTCTTGATAGTGTCGAAAATAATTCTTAGATCTGCATTTAGTCATTTCAAATTGTCGTTGGCGGTACGACGGAACTATTATTTTGTATTACTTTATGCAACACATTGATATGTGTAGAAGATGCTATCAATTCAGTCATATTGACTGAAGTAGTACTTTTAGATGACGCGTAGTAGAACTGCAACATAAGTTCCATTGCCAACAGTAGATGCATAACCAGAATTGTAGCACCATATAGAATCCTCCATTTACCTCCTGTAAAATCAATTATTAAATATATTTATTTTGCTTGATATATTAATTTTCTTGCTAGATTAATTTGATTTAAATGATTTTTCATGTATTTTCTATACAATTGGAAAATTTATGTTAGACTTAACATAAGATAAATGTTAAGCTTAACACAAATATTATATATATTAACAAGTTAACGCAAAAATATAACATTTTGTAAACAAATTGTGGAAGAATAAAATTTCTTTTTTCTTTCTTCAATAAAATTAATACTTATAATATGTTCAATTAACATTTTAGTCATTTATCTTAAAAATTTACGTTTTTTAAAATGCATTATTTTATATTATTGATTTACTCACTCGTAAATTGTGTTATTTTAACACTAAAAATTGTAAAATATCAATTTAACACAAAATATTTAAA